TATCATTCTAGGTACATGATATTTGCCTTGAACAAACTCCCCTACATTCAGGGAATTTCGTCTTTCCAGCTTTGCTCTTGACTTTACTGAATGCCATAAAACACCATGAGCTAATGAAAAAATATTCTAGATTTAGCAACAAAGATATATTTTTAAAGATTAATATCCACAGTAAAAAAAGATTTGGAGAATTAGCTGGTCAAAAAGATACTTCAACCATTATGCAAGAGTTATTAAAAACAACAAAAATATATCTCTTCTACAAATCCCTACTTTCTCTTTCTGCTGTACATATACATGTGCATGCACACATGCATCATACTGTTCAATACACACATATTCATTATGTGACCCATTTCTACCTATCTTATATTGCCCCAAATATCTAACACAGAGATTTATGTTAACATTGTTAGGTGTTAACATGAATTATAATCATAGAGGGAACTTTTTTTCTGTACCAAGACATACCTATGTAGACTCAGCAAAAAGGAAATCTTGCAGTCATTAGCATGAACATGCCTTGAGCCTTAGAGCTCGTTCTACCATAGCATTTCAAACCACATCATGGAAAATGATCAAAGTGAGAGCAGCAATAATTTTTATCATGTGGACAAGATTGGACATGTAGTCTTTCAAATTATCTGTCACTGTGCGATAATAAATACATGCTTTTGGCACTCAGAATGACTTTAGGTTACAACATGAAAATAGTCTCTGTGACTTTGTGATTATCAACCATCAGTTATTAATCATAGAAGATAGCTTATTCCTTGTGGGTCTTCTTTATTCACTGTGATTGTTGCTACATCTGTCTATTGTGAAAACACTGATTATCACTGGCAAAAACCAATTTGCTTCTGTTTTGCTTTCGTTTGTTTTATATATTGCGTATTTGTTGTTACTTGAATTGGATTGACTAAAATAAATTTTAAAATACTTTATTTTCTTTCCTTCTTACTCGGGAATATATTTACTGTGTTAAGCATTTCAAATTTGGTTACAAAATAATAAATTAGGACAAAATATAGGAATAGTACCCAAATAAGCTGAATTTCCTCCCACAAATACTAAATATTATAATCAGTTAATTGTTAGAGTGCTAAATATCAACAATGAAATATCCATATATTAATACAAAGATATATGTGCTGCAATCTTAGTCACCAAATTTAATTTTCTATAAACAGATCTTTATATACAAACCCATTTGTAGATGCAATAAGAACTATGAAAAATACATTTATTATGCCTTTGAAGTAATTTATGCCATTGAATTGATTAGTAATTAGAACTTCTGAGCCCCATGTTTATAAATGAAATTAAAGCTACAATTATTAACTAGTTACATAAATTTCTAACATTTATGTGTTTTTTCATGCTATTGTTCTTTAAATATTTGGACTTTTGAAACTATATAAAGTATTTTACTTATAGGATGTTGACCTACCTTCTGAAATGATATTATATAGTGATGTTTCAAGATTGTTGTTTTGTTATTTTAAAACTATTTTTCAAGCCATCATCATTCTTAGTGAATTGTATATACTTCCAAATAAATATATGTGTAATATTTGATAGCATTGTGCTAGAAGAGAGAATATTAAATGCATTTTCATTTAAAATGAAAGTTACATATGTGTATGATACTAAAAAACTGTTGGAATGTAGTACTGTAGTTTTCATCTCTAATGGATGCCACTATATACTTTACTGTTTATAAGGAAAATCAGGTATAGAGCCTAACATAAATTTAATAGATTCCATCTTTTTATTTCATGCTGGAGGAAGATTTCTGAGTTCATTTATTTAGGTATTTTACTCTTTTACTCTAGTGGGAAGTGACAAACTAGGAACATTACAATGCATTTTGAATAATGCACACTGAGGTTACTAAGCCTGTAAATAAATGTGTATTAAAGACGTGGTTTTTTTTCTTTCTTAAATTTTTTTTCTTTTTTTAATTTATATATGACAGCAGAATGCATTACAATTCTTATTACACATATAGAGCACAATTTTTCATATCTCTGGTTGTATACAAAATATATTCACACCAATTCGTGTTTTCATACATATTCTTTGAATAATAATGTCCATCACATTCCACCAACATTTCTAACCCCATGCCCCCTCGCTTCACCTCCAACCCCTCTTCCCTATCTAGAGTTTGTCTATTCCTCCCATGCTCCCTCTCCCTATCCCACTATGAATCAGCCTCCTTATATAAGCATTTTTTTTTTTATATCAGCATTTGGCTTTGGGGAATTTAAGTGTTTTTTTTTTTTAATTCACATAGAATAATTTCCCAAAAAAGGTATTAAAAACACAGTAAAATCATTTGATGAATCATTTGTGAATCTTATGAGAATGACCTAAGACTCTGATAGTGGCTGGAGTTTGAATATAAAGTTGCCCAATGCAAGTGGATCCTACCATTTGTCCAAATCAAGGCCTTTGCAAGGATTCCAAGAAGAATTAGTCATTGAGAGTACGTACAAAGAGCAGGGTTTTAAATGATATACCCAGTGTTAAGAAAATATAATTAAAAACAAACTCACCTACCAAGGAAATGAATCCTTTCCACAAAATATACAAATGAGTGTAGAAACAGCTTTTCTATTGAACAAGGATTAAACCAGACTGTGGTGTGCATCGTACACAATCGGCTAAGGAGATTGCAAAAGAGACAGATAATTCTTATTCTTTTATAAAGCCAGACAGATATAATACATTACACATATATGTTATTTGTCTTTATAAAAAGGGAAAATAAAATTCCTTTTTTTATGATAGCCAGGAAATTATCTCATGGAGCAATGTGCCTCAGCTTAAACTCCACAAACACTGGGCAGGGTATCATACTCCTTGATGTTCACCTTTCGAAGAAATGTCTCCAAGTCCTCCAAGAAAGAAATTCTTTTGATGCAAAATTGGAAAGAGTCTCATTTAATTTTTAAAACATTTACATATATTTGAAAGAAACTGAGAACTTATAATTTCCAGTTTTCTAAAGTAAATGTTAAAGAGGAGTAGGTTGAGTTTATATTTACTTTTTTTGATAGCAGGGGAAATTTTTATTTTAATTGCTTATTTTTAATTTAATATACTTTTATACCACCAGTGAATAGGGAACTAGGTAAAATCAGTGTCGATAGGATAATAAGTTATAAAGGAGCTATTTAGACCACATGTGTTTATTGTTCTTTCTGAACTGACAAAATCTTATTCTGGAGATTTCATGCTGTAGAAACTATTCAGAATTGAGTATAATATGAGAAAATGTAGTAAACAGCAGTAATTAATTTATCTCAGAAAAACAACTTTTACAATTCACTATGGGATAGATTGTTGGCATATTCACTATAATGTAGCTGATGTACATTTTATAGACTTAAGCTCTTATACCCATTGTATAATGAGTATAACTTTCTTTCTGTCAGGCCTCTGAGCTTTAGTTCTCATTCTTGCTCATGAAACTGCATCTGTCTCTTTACTGTAACTCCTAAGACCAATACCTATAACTCATCAAAATTCCAGGGCTACACTAAAAATGCATGTGCCACAAAGTTTAATTAAACTGTTTCAAAGATCATGTGTATATATAGCAATAAAAAATGTGCCTATAGATGTGGGTTTTTAATTATGACAATTTTAATTTTTTTGACAGGCAAAATTAATATAATCTAAGATTTCATAACCTCTTATAGGATCTTGATATCTTTTAATATTCCTCCTTATCATGTATAATCCCATAATTAAATCATACTTTAATTTCTTTCTGTTAAATTCCTAGATTGTGTAACAACAGACACTGTGATGTAGCCATACAGCTAATACAATTTTTTGTTTTATTTATTTATTTTTTACGTCATTTTTACAGTTTTGGTGGCTGCCTTACCAGAGAGAGCATTTTGCTGTTATGGTCATCCATGCTGCCTTCTACTGGTTAACTATAGTGTTGCCACTATCCAGGGGACAGTTATTATTTTTTTTAATACTGTCATAGGATGTCTTTTTTATTATTATGAAAGAAAACTTTATATCTTCTTTCCTGATGCAATTTTAAGCTCTCTTTGTGGCTTTGGAAATTTAGTAGGCAAATGTTTAACAAACTTACCCTTTTAGTATGAACTTTACAATCCTCAATTGATATGTACAATTACTCTGAAGTGAGACCATTTTTTCCCTTTTTATTCTTCACAGACTTTTCCCTCCAATGTCTTATTTTCTCTTTTGCTTTCATTCTGTTTCTGACCCTTGGCTTCAGTTCAAACGTGTGACTACAGTTCAAACATGTGATGCCAGGAAACAAAAAGTAATTTCTCTCCTTATGGTAAAAAATCATGCATTAGTAAATGAAAATTTATTAATGCTTAGATTCAGTTATACTGCTTCAAACTAATAGCATGTTCTTTAAATATAAATAATTTTATTTACCAAAAAAACATATATGGCATGGTTCAACCATAATGTAGCCATTATCTAGGGTATAGTGTAAGTAATATAAGTTTAATCTCTGTTATATCACATCAGTATTGCAAAGGGCTAGATTATATTGCCTGTGATTTTTCTTTTGCACAGTATTTTAATATTTTTCACAGTATTTAGAACAAAACTCTGTGAAACTTTAGTATTTAAAATCAGATACATTCTTGGTGCTAAAAAGTACTTGAAGATTTTTATATATAGTTTTTTTTTTCCTTTTTGTTCAAAAGAAAGTATAAGATTCTCTGATAGTCTAAAATTTAGTAATCTTGCCTCAGGAACATTAAAGATCTAAACTAGTAAAACATATAAAATGGTATTTTTAATGATAAACCTTGATCACTAAATTGTGTAATTTGTCTTTTCTGTTACATCAACACATAGATCTGTAAATTTATCTGACAGTTTTTTTTCCTAGCAAAGAAAGTAATAAGATACATATCCATCTCATAATTTTCATGCACAAAGTGTGTTAATAACCCAACTTTCCCTTCTTTGTTTCTCTTTCGTAGGTTGACTGGAAGCTTTGTACCAGACCTTATAGTGAGCATGAGTAGCCAAATGTGGCTGCACCTTCAAACAGATGAAAGTGTTGGATCTGTTGGCTTCAAGGTTAACTACAAAGGTAATGATGAACTATTCCTGTGGGAAATATCTTAATACCAACAGAGAACACTTTTAAATTTCAAGTTTAATTGCCTCTACAAAGTTAAAAAGTTTTCCATAAAACAAATGAAAATACATTCCAACAAAATAATTCCCTCTTTAACTATAGATATTGGTCCTGATTATGTTTAAATAAAATTGTTTTCTCTTTAAAATGTGTCTATTTATCATTCCATACTTCTCTCCCTATTGATTATACTACTCCTGTGATTCAGTCACTCCAGACTGCTAGCCTTTTCTTGAATAGAACATGCAATTTTATATTCTAAATAATTGCTGGGAAAAATGCCTATTAAATACTTCACTGTAACAGAAAAGGACTTCAATCCCCAAATATTCCAGTATATTATTTTCTTAAATCCACTAGTAATTCTGTCATATTAAATACATGGTCATAGTATTGAGTTTATTTACTCCTGTATAAATCCCAGACCACAATTTTTGCTGCCCATCCCATGACTTGATGGAAATATAGATTAATGAATGATTAATTCTATGTTAATTATAAGATCCTTTGTTCTAGTTTAATTATTAGGAGATAGTTATAAGCCTTATGAAATTATAAATATCTTTGACATGTGTCAAAACTTTATTAAATTCAGTATATATACATATTAGAAATGCAAATTTATATTTTTGATGGAAAAATATGTAAATATTAATAAATTCAATTAAAATCTATTATTTAAAAAAGGAAAATGTAAAAGATCCATCAGACTATTATGTGGCTTGAATTTATTACTTCTATCATAGTAAAAATTATTCCCTATCAAACAAGGGCTATTGAAAAATTATCTTATTGCATAATAATAATTTTTAATTCTTTTTTCAACCACTGTCATGCCTTTGTGTCTGGATACACTGAGCTCAATGCATGATGTTGTCAGGGAGACAGGACACATTCATTCTGTATATTTTACTTGTGACTAAATTTGTACTACATTAATTTGAAAAGCTCAGGAGATCTGTGTGAATGTTGGTTTTAAAAAATACTTAGGCTCATTGTAAATATATATATTTTAAATATATTCCTCCTCCATTTAAAATCCATCTCTACTCCCAGTAAATAAAACAAGGTTATGAAATTGAAAGAATGGTCCCCTTATTTTATAACTGTCTACTTGATTTTTTTTTCTCTTCCCTTGTCCCTCTAAAAGCCCAAGTGAATTTGGCCTTCTTACATTTCTTTTATGTTTATTATTTTTCACCCTGAGGGTTACCTCTCAGAAAATCTATAGTAGTTTAAACCTTAGAACCTATATTAATCATTAATAGCAGTACTTCAACAAGAAACATAGTTATTAAAACTCTTGATCAGTTTGTAGTAGCAGGGGAGCTTTATTGATATTTATACAGTCCCTCAACAGCTCAAGAGCTGGAAGTACATTGTGAAGTGTCACAATGAAGCATTATTTTATTCTTTCTGCTCAGGTTTTAGCAAAAGTAATTTTTTTAAAATCCCAAGGATCAGCATAAGTGTCAGGTATTGATACTTTTAAGAAAAAAATTCATATTTCCTATTCTGTGGCACTTTTATTCTCTACCCATCATATATATATATATATATATATATATATATATATATATATATATATATATATATATATATATATATATATATATATATACATATTAATAAACTCTGTATCACATGTACTATATATATATGTACTATATATATATATCACATGTATATATATATATATATATATATCACATGTATATATATATATATATATAAACTCTGTATCACATGTACTATATAAGCAGACAGGAAATAAACTTTCTTGTCTTTGTATGTGTATAACAAATGTCCCTTTTCTTTCATCATAATTATATGTTCAATTAAACTGTAAAAAGGGTTTTTACCTTATATTAACACATATATGTTAATATAAGGTAAAATATGTTCTAACAGCTTTAGTTTACCTTTATTTTCTTCCTACTGTAAAATTTTTATTTTTGCATTTTCCATAATTTAAAACATGGCACAAAGTTGAGTCAAGGTTCATTTTGAGAAGTTTCAAAATTTGATGTGCAGATATCTTCAGCAACTTCACCTACTAAAAATAATTTCCATAATTACCTTGCTCTCTCTTGAGTGGTGTGTTGGTTTTTTAAATGGAACACCTGCTAAAAATTTTTTTAGATCTGATCTAAAGATGTCTCTTTTTTGTTATCTTTAAATTTCACATGAGATAGTATATCTCTTCTAAATTAATCATATATTTTATTGCATAAATTATTAAATTTTTAAGTAACTAGATTTGATAAAAATTTTTAAATTTTTATCAAATGTAGTTACTAAAATATATAAATTTTGATTTTTACAATATGTTTTGTTATGTTTTGCTAATTACCTAAAATAGAGTTTTTGAAACTGGATGTTAAAGAAATTAGGAGAGTAAATAAAATCTTCTCTTAGAAAACCAAAATAGAAGAAGAGGTTAAAAGTTGTTGAAATGTGGATGGGAAGGTTGTTACTGTCGATCTTCAGACTGGTTCTCATTCTCTATAAATGTAAGAAGACACATAGGAATCCAAATAACAATTTTTTTAAAAGATTGGTCTGTGTTATAATAGACTGAGAAAGAAAAATTATCTATGAATATAAAGTAATTTATAACTATCTGGTTATCATTAACTTTTAGAACCTCAGCTTTAATCTGTGATATTATCTATATGCTTTTCTATGTTATTTCATGGTATCTGTTTCAAAGTGTAAGAAAAAAGCAAATGGCACAAATCAAGATAAGTCTTTTATTTTAGTTTAATTTTTATTTAGTTAGGATTCATTTAATGTTTATCTTGTGCATGATGGAGTCCTGATTACTGTATCCAATAGAAAATCGTGAATAAAATACCACCAGAATCTGTAAAAGTTAATAATATCTGTAGCTTGTTAAAATCAGTAACATTTATGTTGAGTACAATAAGTCAATCCTGATTTATAGGAGATCTGTGTGTTTGCCATAACTGTGATGCAAGGTGTGACACTTTATGTTCCTACTAAAATCAAAGAATAACCTCACTATCCACCTTGCACCATTTCCCTTCAAGACATTTGTTTTGTTTGCTTGTTTTTATATCGTCATTATTCAAATCCACATTAACCAGAAAGGAAGCTAGTGTTCCCAATAAATGCATTAGCATCCATTAACACTGCACTACTTTTTGCATGTATTCTCATGTTCATCTTAGAAAGTCTAAGGAACATTAAAGACATAAATAACAATTGCTACAGCTTTGTATATCACAATCATTTTGTCTTCATTAACTCATTAAATCTCATTAAGATGTCATGAGGCTAGGAATTATTACTAATTTTCTCAGATGGGAAAAATGACTAGGATGTAAGCACAACGATCATAAAAAGTTTAGTCTTACTTTGTTCACTGTTATATTCCGAGAACTTACTGCAATGCATAACATAGTAAGTGATCAATAAATATTTCTGGAATACTTGGTTTTTGTTTTTGTTTTTTTTTTTTGCTTGTTTTGGGGGATTCTGAGAATTGAACTCAGAGCTTCATGTGTGGTAAGCATTTGCTCTACCACTGAGCTATATCCCATCCCTTATTTGGGGCATATGTGAATGGATGAGTGAAAATTAACAATAGATCATTAACTGCCTGTAGAATATAGCTGCAATTCTAAGCTTGCTGACTAGTTTTTTTTTTCCATTATGAAACAATATATTCTAGATGATTTAGAGTTTTTTGAGAAGCAGAAACTTGAGGTCCTAGTCAGTGTGAAGAGCATAAGGCACCAAAAGATTGAATTAAACTGGGTTCCCATTGTCTCACTTGCTACACATAAAAAAATGCACATGCACGTGCATGCACATATGTATGCACACTATGACAAAAACCACCCAATTTCCAATAGGAGGTGACTATGTTGTTACATGGTATTTTTCAATTGAAAATCCATGGAAAGTCTGAAAAGGAAAAACCCTTAGTCTTTATAGAGTTCTAAAAGTGATACCTCCTCTTTTTAGAAATTAGACATTATATCGGTTTAACTTTCTGTTGTATGAAAACACATATCCTCAACAACATAGTTTTAATAGCAAACACCTATGAGGGGTATCCCATGCCATGTGATTTTGTAAACACATGCAAGGTTTCATTTAATCACTACAATAACCCAATGATAGGTAATAATATCATCTCTACTAAAGAGATGATGAAATCCAGGACATTAGGTTAGGTCATTTGTTTCTATCACTTATCTAGTAGGTGGTATAATGAGACTCTAAATTCTGTAATTTTAACTATTGTTTTTAAAACAATTTATATTATTTTCATAAATTTTAGCATACATTTTAATTTATTTAGATATTAAATTTTGAAATAACTCTCAAAGTACATAGTCAAAGTGTAAAATTTTGATGATGCCATCTGGTTTTATGGAATGACCTACAATTTTAAAATGGAACATTTTCATTAAAGATGCTTATTTTTGTTAAATATTTAGACTTCTTAATTTTTATGATTTAAAATGAACTCAGAGTCCCTGTGCTTCATTACAGAGATAACACATTCTGTTATTTTGTCCTAATCCAAGACTGTTAATGATTAGGACACATGCTGAAATAAGATGGATTTATACCCAAAAGCTCCCCTCCACATCCATCTTCCCTGACTATACGGTATATATAACATGAGCAAGAAAAAAGCCTGTTTTATTAAGCCTCTATGGTTTCTGAATCAATTTGCTCATGGAGCAACATAGTGTATTGTAACTGATATACAATGTAACTTTGTTTACCCTTGATCAATTTTCTTTTTGGTTATCTTTTTATTCTTATCAAATTGTAGGTACTTTTTACACATAAAGAATATTAACACTTAGTTTATCATATACATTGTAAATATTTTCATCTAGTCTATATTTATCCTACGCAAAAACAAGTTTTCCTCTTGTTTTTGATCTTATCTATACTGCTATTTCTTA